CATAAGTTTCATGATTTTTTAAGGAGTTTATTTTTTACATTTTTATGGTTGGAATATTGTCATATTTTTTGTGTTTTATTGTGATCATTGCAAAACAGTTAGGTTAATATTTCTATTTAGATATTTATACTTTTACTTGAAAAAAAACTTAATAAATATTATAAAGATAATTTTATTTGTGGATTTGATTAACAAGTAGTAACATTAACACCATGTAATATTGTTTTGTCGATATTTATGATAATATTTTTAAATTATAATTTATAATTTAATTTAATAATTATAAAAAAATATATAACTTTTAAAAAAGTGGGCTGGCCCGGCAAGCCTGTATCCCATGTACTTGTTGGTTGGGCCGACCGTTTTCTGGCCCACACCAAAAATGGGCTAGCCTAGCCTGGCTTGGCCCGTAAAATGTCAAAGCCTGTATGGATTAGCCCGAATGGGATGGGCTAGCCCATATTGACAGCTCTAATCTTGACTTGTCATAGACTCATAAACATGATTTGCCTCCTAAGGTAAAATTTGCTCTGATGATTATTCTATTTTTTTGTCTTAAATTTTGACTATTTTAACCTCGACACAAAACGTACGTTTCATTATCTACATTATACATATTTTTACTTATATATGAGATTTGTCTCATAAAGCAGAAATTAGCTAGCTTGATAATTATTTTACTTTGATAAATATATAAATATGTCATTTAACTTAGCCTTAACTAACTTTTGTTCCCTCCAACTTTGGGTGTGTCGTTTGGTTGGGAACAAGTTATCCCAGGATTAATTATCATGGGATTAGTTATTCTAGGATAACTTATCCCACCATGCATATGAGATAACTTATCCCACCACTATCAGGGGCGGACCCACGTGGGTTCCAGGGGGTTCACCCGAACCCCCTCGGAAAAAAATTACACCGATACATATAAGGTAATCTTCTATATTTATGTGGATATATATATTTTGAACCCCCTCAATGACAAGGAGAAACTGATAGCCCAACAACTGGTCCCCTTGAAATTAAGCCTAACGTTGAGGGTTTGAATCCCTGTGTTAGCAGTTTATATTTTTCTTTTTTAGTTTTTTATTTTATAAAACATGCTAAAAGTATGGTTTTAAACCCAAAAAAATTTAAGGACCCGCCACTAAAACTATATACTACTACTTCCTTGAAATTTTATTTTGTTGGCTTACATACACGTTTATACTTTTATTTTCGAACCCCCTGAACGAAAATTTTGGATCCACCACTGATCACTATGGTATAAATGGTGAGATAAATTATCACAAATATGTCAACCAAACAAGACACCAAGGTCAATGTTCCAACACTTGTGAGCAGGGGCGGACCTACCTTGTTGCAAGTGGCTTCATATGAACCCACTTCGTCGAAAAAAATACATTGTATATACATATATATTCAATCTGTTTTTTGAAACAAAACACTGTATATAATTAATTTGACCCCACTTAAACCAATAGTAACACGTAGCCCAGCGGCAAAGTGGTTACAATTTGACTGATGCATCGCACGTACGATTTTTATATGTTGAACCCACTTGGTAAAATTTCTGGGTCCGCCACTGCTTGCTTGTGAGTTGTGGCACACTATAAATTGGAATTATTTATGCCTTAAAAAATATTAAATATAATTAGCGAAAAATTTCCTAGGAAAACAAAAAATCAGGTATGATTAGAAGGATGAAGCAAGCATATGTTGACTAACATATTATTGAATTGCATTACAAAGCTCTACTCACTGATTAATAACATTATTGTACAATTTAAGTATTTAATCCAATGTTTTCTTGTTCTCTTTTTATTTTTACATGTGGTTTATGCTTCATCATCATCAGATGCATTTCAGTGAAGGTGATGAAACATTAAGTGAAACAAAATGTATAAATTTGAAATTCAGAGGATCGCCATCCTACAATAAAAAAAGAATTAAGTCATGTCAAAGCTGTAAGAAAGTAATAATCTTCCTTTCATACCCTTTTTCATAATTCTATATACCTTTTTTGTTCCTTTAGGTAGTCACATGTCTGTTAATAAAACGAAATCACCCCATACATATGAATGAGATAGTTTATAATTTAAAAACTTCACATAAACATGGTGAAGAAGCAGAAGATACTAACACTACAATATTTTTGCTTCAAACTTCTCAAATTTTGTCCTCTACAAAGAATTTTTGATATTAATATCAACTCCGTATTCAATAATTTTTTTCGATCCATTTTTCACAAATCCTTCTTTGATCGGATTAGCTTCAAATAGATAAGAATACTTTGGCTGAGAAATCTCCATTAAATAAGTAACAAAAGTAAAAATTAAACACCAATCTATTTGAGGGGCAATCCGTACAAAAACATAAAAAATTTAGGTTGTGATATAAAAAAAAATATTTTCCATGAAAATTGTTTCTTAAAATTTAATTTCTAGGACTAGGAAAATAAAGGAATTTTTTTTATATTAGGAACGTAAGTAAAATAAATTATTTTAAGAATAATTTTATATAATCAAAATAAATATTACGAAAGATAGAGATGTGAAATTGTGAAAATACAAGCTATCAAGATGGATTAAAGATGAAATGTGTTACAGGATGCAGAAAACATACTCAATGTAGATTATCATTTATTGAATTTGTTCTCCTTATTTTTATTAAATAAATCATTTTCCTCATTTAAAAAAAAATATTAACTAAAGAAATATGAAAAATCAAAAAACTAAACACACTCTTAATCACAAGGAGCTTCATGTATTTTTATTGTTCACTGGATATTTAAAACTCCAACTAAATTTGGAGATTTTTTTACCAAACTAAGTCATTATATAAAGCAATTCACAAAAATAATACGTTTTTCTAAAATTTTAAAAAACTAGTATAAACGTATTCCACAATAATGTTTTAGGGTATATTTTATTTTTTAAAAGCTGATGGCATTAGGTTAATATACGTTACTCACAATATCGTTTTATATACTCCTTTCAGTTAACTATTTTTCCTCTACAATTCTAAGTTGTTTCTTTAACTTTACCTTCATTTTAATAGTTTTTCCCTTTACAGTTCTAAGTTGTTTCTTCTTTTAAATTCACCTTGCATGTCCTTTCATTCTAATTTCTATGGTTTCCTGGGGGGATCGAAGTAAAGTTATTTGCTTTACAGTGTTGTCCACCTACTTGCCAGTGAACCAAGTCCCATATTGTTAAGTGGAGAAGGGCAACGAAATGGACTTGTTATCTTTGATTTCGAGGAGTGGTTAACCTTTAGAAAATTATTTCATACCAGAAAAGATTGATTATTATTTCAATTATATTACAATAGCTAACTGAAAGGAAATTAACATAATTGGGCATCGACGCACAACTGAAAATTAACAGAATAACAAAAGACTGTCTACTTTTAGTAAAATGTAATTAAAAGTCACGTATTATAAAATGTTTCTATGAGTAATATTTTAGGAGAAAAATAAAATATACCTAAAACGTTACTGTTAAATACGTTAATACTAATTTTATAAAATTTTAGAAAAATATATTATTTTGGTGAATTGCTTTATATAATAGCTTAGTTTGGTTAAAAATTCCAAATTTGGATCACTAAGTTAACAATTTTTTTTTGGGTACTAGCCTCGAACCAACTCCATGAGTCCGCAGCTGGAACCCCTAAAACCCCTCTAATGGCAGGACCTCATCTTCCCTCTGTATGCTCTCATGTATGGTTCACTGACCAAATAACCAAAAAACCCACCAATGATATATATACCTGAGAAAATTCAATTCTTGGCGTTTTTTTAAACAGTTCTTCAACTTCCCCCAAACTCTATCGGATCAACATTCTTGAATTCTTCAACCCCATATCAATTTTCGTCATCTTTTTGGAAACCCTTTTCGTTTTCAGTTCAGTTTCAGAAAGAATCAACTAGTTTAGATAGTGTAGCAAAGAAACCATTGGGTGTTTTCTTTCAAGAAGTTGTTGGTCACTTAAAAAAGTCTGAACAATCAGAAAGTGAGGAAAACAAAGAATTGAACTGTAAATTGAGAAAATTGGAAGAAGAAGTTTGAATTTTGCGGGAGAAGAGGAAAAATGGAAGGGATTGTAAGGAGGAAGCTAGAGATGTTAATGGGGTATTGGAAAATGAGGGGAAGAGTAACAAATTACATGAATTGTTAATGAATGAGGAGGTTAAGAGTGTAAAATCAAGAAAGTCGACATCGTTGAGTATGGAGGATCATACAGTGTACAAAGAGCTTTCACCTGATATGGGTGATGTTTGTGACTCATTTATGCAATGCAGGTACTTTAAAGATTCAAACTTTTTGCCTAGGAGGAAGTTTGATATTACTTGCTTCGAGAATAGCTATTCCCGTGATTTTGTAAAGTATGCAGCTGAGCAGTTTGGTAGAGATCACCAAGAGATTGCTAAGTAAGGATCAATTTAGTTACATTCACACATTTTCATATTGTTTGCTATAGTTAGTTTTCTGTGTTTGTTTACATTTATTCATCGAAGTTTATTGGTCTAATTTGTGTTTTGGTAATCTACCAAAATCTTCAACAATGACATTCTTGATAGAATTCTGTATCCTAATAATTGGGAATATATGGAAAGTATTTGCTTATGCCTTATGTAAATGTAGAAGCGAAGAGTTTGTAAACTGATAAGGCACATGCAAATGGAGAAGGGAAAAATCGAATAAGGTAATAGAAGGTGGAGGCTAGAAATGGTAATGGGATGTCGGGAAGTGAGGGAAAGAGCAAAAAGTTAGGCGAATTGTTTGTGGATGAATAGAGTAATAAGATTGTGGAATCAAGAAAATCAACGCCGTTGACTATGGAGGATCATACGGTGTACAAAGAACTTTCACCTGATATGGTGATGTTTATGACTCATTTATATAATGAAGGGTACTTTAAAGATTCAAACTTTTTGCCTAGGAAGAAGTTTGATATTACTTGCTTAGAGGATAGCTATGCCTGTGATTTAACTAAGGATCAACGTTAGTTATATTGACCTATTTTAATGTTGGTTGTGATCAGTTTTCTGCCTGTTACATTTGTTTATTGAGATTTAGCATTGTCTAATTTGTGTTTTGTTGATCTACCAAAATCGATGATGTTGCGGGGTTTGAGGAATAGATCATTCTTTTGGATTCCTTAGGTATATAAAAATGTTGCGCAAATTTCAGTACGTCATATAAAATGTGACGTCATAGATTTGTGATGTCATAAGTGATATGAGTGACACCGTTATATCCCTCTCTCATTTTTTTTCATGAGCAGAAAAGGGATAGAAAAGGAGAGGAGCTGCTCTATAAAATCAGAAGATTGTCTAACGTGTAAGAACTCATCTTACACACCTGCATCAGATTGATCAGCAACAAATTACAAATGCCTCTTTTTTTTTACACAAAATTGTCTAACAGAAATTCTTAGCAGATATGATAGCCTGAACAAAACTGAAGGCTTCAGGGGACACTGTCTAGTGGAAGAGTCATCTCTTTTCTATGCTCAGATACTTCACTTCTCTAATGCTGCTTCTTGCATATTTTAGAATCATGGCTTTGCTTACTAATTCATTTTCGATGCGGTCCCTTCTTGATTTGTATGAAGGAAATTTATTTATTGCACTCGTGGTTGGGGGTTATTTATTCATTTGTGGTTCCTTTGTTTGTTGTATGTCGTTAGATTCCATTATCTTTTTTTGTTTGCATATCTTTGGCGTGGTCCCTAATTCCTTTCTTTTATGGCTTGCATGTGTTGGTTTCTAAAGAATGAATTAAATGCTAAGTTGATTTTCAATTATGGGGGTATTTTGGTTTGTACTTCAGTTGATCTATATTAACTGAGGGTGAAGAGTATGTGGCTGCTCATTGTACTATGCTATTCATCATAGTGAAGTTTCTTTGGGAACTGTAAGTGCTGGGACTGATTGTGATAGTTTTGAGAAGGAGGAAGGTAATAACCCTGCATCTATAGATTATTATAGTGAGGAGTTCAAGGTGTTTAGAAGGGAAAGGACTAAAGAAATCAATGAAAAATTAGACAAGTACAAAGAGTTGGAAAACGGTATGACTTGTAAAGATATCCAGAACCTAGAAGAGTTATATGCAATTGCTAATGGTAAGAGTTTTAAGATAGAAAAGAGTGACTCAGAAAGTCTTAAGATACAAATGGGATGTTAGATGTTCTTTCAAGTGTTTATATTTTTGATAACCAAAACCAAACCTTTTAAGATCAAGACTTTGAACAACAAATCACCATTGTAATCCAGATTTACCAGAATCATGGAGGTGATGCTCAAACTTTAGCACAAAATTTTAGGAGAAAAGTCAAGAATAATCCTACGTATCAGATGAATGATATGAGAAGATCAAAGATATGAGGGAGACAGGGAGGGAGAATTCAAACTCAATGTTAGCAAGTCAAAGTTGAAAAGAGTTAAGAGGTTTGTTTTGGAGAAATTGGAAGGGAGTTACCTGGATGATTACAATAGATTTGAGGCATATGCACAAGAGTTGCGAGAGAGTAATCTTGATTCTGATGTGGTGATAAATATATCCGAGGAAGCTTTGGCAAAAGGTAAAAGAAGATTTCTTAGGATGTATGTGTGCTTCCAAGCAATGAAACATGGTTTTGAAGATGGAGTTGAGACCATTAGTAGGGCTGGATGGCACATAACCAGTATATAAGCCTCCTTAAAGTTCCATGAATGCACCTCAATCAGGTGGTACTCTAACATTAAGCTTGAATTCTCCCCTCATATTAGTTACAACACTAATCTATAGTGCTCTAAGAAACTTTATTATGATGAATAATACTAGGAGCAACCACATTCTCTTCACCCTCATCTAGTGCTAATTGTGTAGTTCATTGAATTCAATACATAACAAATATTGAAAGTTCTAATAACTCCAACACAGAACCACCAGGTGACCCTGTAACTAATAACTACATCACCTCACTAAACCTTGGCTTTTCCATATATTCTCGACAAATCTCAATATATGACAAATAGGTCAACATCATACCCATGGCACATGTGTACCCATCTTTAGATCAATTGTGGTTTCCGTTCCCTAATATCCCATAGTTAAAAATCAAGTCTGTCTTTTCATGAAACCGGTACATGCAAGTCACAAAAGAAAGGAAGTAGGGACCACACCAATGATATACAAACATAAAAAATATTGGAATTATGAGGTCTTAGGTTCAAATCCCAACAGAGACCCTATTTCTGGTGGTAGGTACCTCATAGAATTAGTCGAGGTGCATGAAAGCTATTTCTTACACCGTGGTAATCAAAATAAAATAAATTCCAGGCGAGACAAAAACACAAGGTGATTTCTTCCCATCTTTAACCTTGGTGGACAAAGTTACCTGCTGGTGGTGAGAGGTAACAAGGAATTAGTTGAGATGCGCACAAGCTTGTCCGGACACCACTATTATCAAAAAAATGTTGAAATCTAATGACATACAACAAACAAAGGGACTACATACGAATAAATAATCCCCATCCACAAGTTCAATAACCATACAAATCAAGAAGGGACCACATACAAAAAAGAATTAATCCCTCCATCCCAAATTATGTGGCACAAAGTTTAAGAAAAAAAAAGGACTTTTAAAACGTGTTGTCTAAAACAAACCTTAGATAGTTGTGTTTCTTTAAATCATTTCATTAAGGGTAAGTGAAATTTGAAAGTTAAGTTATTTCTAATTATAGAAAGGTGACATTCTTCATGGGGCAATCATCAAAGGAAAGGATGCCACATTAATTGAGACAGAGAGACTGAGGGAGAAGTAAACAAAGTCTTTAAAAGCTTCAACTCATCTAGAGTAAAAAAAAGTCAGCTTCAACCGAAAGCATTAAAAGATTCAATGCGACTGGACTAAAAGTAGTTATTGAAGGCCAAGAATATAGAAAATCCCAAACCATAAAAAGGTTCATACAAACAACAACAACAACATACTCTGTGTAATCTCACCATACCTTACTCCTACGGTCCTACCTTGTGGAGTTTTAGAGATTGTTTTCAAAAGACCCTCGGCTCAAATGCATCAAATAAAAATAGAAAAAGTTTTACATAAACCAGTAAAAAAATTTACCTTAATAATAGGACTTATGAATTGATTCTTCAAGAAGAATCTTTCACCATCCAATGAAGTTATGACCCACAATCTCCCATTTTAAGTACAAAAGTATAGCCCTAAATCACCTATCACCTCTAAGCTCCTAGGAAATAACAAATGCTCTGGGGAGAAAAGATTGTGTATCGGGTGTTCAATTTTTTAAAATGAAAATGAGTTGGGTTTTAATAAATGAGTGGGTTTTGATTTAATGATGAATTAAAAGCGTGGAAAGCTTAGAACGACACGTGGCTAATTTAAAGACCCAAATTTGACTCAGGCTGGTCCGTTAGTTTCAGGGGTATGTTTGAGCTCCCCAAAAATGTAAAAGAGTATTTTTGGGCCAAAAGGTTAACGAAGGGTATTTATGAACCCAAAAAAAAAACTCTTCTACGTTTTTTTTGGGCTCAAACATATCCCTGAAACTAACGGACCAGCTTGGGTCAAATTTAGTCTTTAAATTAGTCATGTGTCATTCTAAGCTTGCCACATTTTTAATTCAGGATTAAATTAAAACCCACTCATTTATTAAAACCCTACCCATTTTCATTTTAAGAAATTAAACACCCGAGACACAATCTTTTCTCTTTTAGAGCATATGTTATTTCCCAGGAGCTTAGAAGTGATAAGGGATTTAGAGCTATACTTTTATACTTCAAATAGGAGATTGTGGGTCATAACTTCATTGAATGGTGAAAGATTCTTCTTGAAGAATCAATTCATAAGCGGATGAAATTACCCCTCCCATCCCTCATTGCTTAGGTTTCTTCCCCAATTCATCTTCTCTCCCAACTTCATCTTTCTCTACTCCTTCAAATTTCAAACCCAGGAGTTGCAACTATCCACAATGGTGAATTATAGGGATTTTAAGCTCTTTATTTAATAATACTAGTTTCATTTTCAACTATTTTATCAAAGAGACAAAATTTCCTATTATATACACTGGGCATATCTTGACTCGTTGTATACAAGATTTACTTCATAAGGCAAAGCTTAGCTCAATGATTATTCTATTCTTTTTTTTTGGTCATAAAATTTTAACTACTTTTGCCTTGAGGTAAAACTTTTCATTACATTCGTGGTATATGAGTTTTGCTTGTTAAGGCAAAAGTTAGCTTGATAATTATTCTATAATTTCAACTACTTTTCCCTCGAGGCAAAACTTCCCATTATATATACTATGCATATCTTGTCTCGTTGTATAGAAATTTGCCTCATTAGGCAAAACTTTGGAATTTTATTTCAAAGCAACCCACCTAATACTCTTTACCAACAATACATGGGCAACAGTTCAGC